TGTGCCTGGTTGGGCACAAAATGAATATTTCTTCTAGATGTGCAAAGGAACTTCAATGTGCATTTCAAAAGCATCTTCAATCTAATCTCAACCATTACAGCATTAACCACTGAGCATTCTCATCCCCAAATATGTTGAAGAATTAGAAAGAGTTCCCTTGGCTCCAGTGGGATGTCATTGGGTATTTGGTGTTGTATTTTTCCTTATATATTTTCCCCAGACTGTGAACTATATCTGTTTGACCTTGGTCGTGGGTTTATTTGTGTGTGCATTTGTGCCAGTTCTGGCACCTAGGTGCTGGCCTTGAGCTTTTCTGCTAATGGCCAGCCTCTACTAATGGAGCCACAGCTCCATCTTTAGCTCTTTTGGACATTTACTTGAGATAAGAGTCTCAAGGACTTTCCTGCCCATGCTGGATTTGAACTGGGATCCTCAGAACTCAGACTTGCTGAGTATCTAGCGTTCTAGCCATACTCAATACTCTCAGTCTCTGGTGCTGCAAAATGATCTCTCTCTCATCTCCTGCATTTCCATTCCTTTTATTTTGTATTGGGTGATACAGTACATTCTAGATAGTAAGAGATTGCCCCACAACTTAGAGGTTTGCTAACAACCATTAAGAAAAACAAGATGGTGTTGCAGATCTTTCCAGGGTGAATTGACTCCAGATTCCTGACGGTGTGTGCACAGGACACATGTATCCCCAAAGCGCTCAGAAACTGCTGGGGTTCCAGAGCTACCATTGAACTGAAAAGCTCAGGGCCAGACTCCCTTTCTCTTCCACCCACACTGAACTTTGGAGTTTATGTCCCCTGGAGAATGCACTTTTCTCCTGGCTTTTGTTTCTGATGTCAAGAAGAGATTCCAGGAGAGAGGCACCTGAATATACAGGAAGAGCAGAAAGGCCAGGATGACCTTCCTCTGTGACCACCCAGGAACCATCGGGTGCCACATGACAGAATTTGCAGGCTAGTCCCAAGAATCATCGTACCTGTCCCAGTAAGGATCCATATCTCGACATTCTGGGTTGTCCCCATGTTTGTCAATGCCCGTGCCAGATCAGCCTGAACCTGGGCAAAACTCTCATGGTTCAAGACCCCTGGCCACCAATTGTGGTAGCTCTCTAGAGGTGCAGGATAGATCCCTAGTCTCAAGTGGCGCAGCCTGGACATGTGCCTCAAGAGGTTCTGCAGGGCGGCCATGGAGATTTTGTTTCCATAGAAACTGAAGGAGCTGAGGTGGGAGCACTGGCTCAGCGCAGGCAGGATGGCAGAGAGCCTGTCATCAGTGAAGTCACAGAACTCCAGGGCCAGGGACTCCAGGGTGCTGGTGATTGGCTCCAGCAGGGTTCCCAGGGTCTCAAGCATGAAGATGTCCTGGATCAAATTCCTCAGATGCAGGTGGTTGAGCTGCCTGGTGCAGGGACACTGTGACAGAATCCAAAGGTTGGTTTCCCAAATCCAAATTTCATTCAGAGACAAAATCTTCAGAGGTGTCGGGCTTCTGAGGATAGTGGGCAGGTTTCCATCAAAGTGGAAAACTTCATTCACATGAAGCTCCTGAAGCTGCTATGGAAAGCCCAGCTGTATCCACAAACTACAGAGATACAAGTCTGTTTCAAAGGAAGTAGATCAGTGATAGAAACTAAACTTGGTGCATTTGAGGATGTGAAGGTTCTTCACCTGCCTTAGGTAATGAGCCCATTTGATCATTGTTCCAAAAGAGCAGTTTGATTCATTCAGGACAAGTTCCTGGATGGAGTCCAGCCTCACCACCAGCAGAGTCTCATTGATTTTGTACAAGGAGTTCTGGAGAATCTGTAACTTTCCTCTCCTTGGCGCAGTGGAACAGGTAGGTTTGGAGATCATCCTGGGCTCCATTTTGGATGGTCAGGTCAATAGCAATCAACAAGGGCTGCTCTTCAGTCATCCCTGAACAGCGACTCCCTGTGGGTCTCAGTCAGAAACTCTGGAGAAGAGATTCGGGCCATGGAGGGGCACCCCCGTATTTTGATCTGGGGGTACTCATTCTGCAGATCGAGCACTTGGAGTTTCCTTTTTTGGGAAGTATCAGATAGAGCCCATCCAGGAGAACCTTGAAGGTTTCCAGGTCTGGTGACTTGGCCAGGTCCCCCAGGGGGAGGCAGGAGAAGGGCCAGGCCTTCAGCACCTCTGTGTTATCCCAGGCATGCAAAGGGAACAGCAGCACTGGCAGATCTTCTAGGACAGAGGTGGCCAGGGACTGGTAGCTCAGCAAATTCTGCATGGCGATCCTGAGTTCTCAGCCTCCCAAATAGCTAAGAGTACGGGCATGAGCCCACAGCTCCTGGCCCCTGAAAATAACTGTTTTTTTTTTTAACCAGTCCTGGGGCTAGAACTCAGGGCCTGTGCACTGTCCCTTAACTTCTTTTGCTCAAGGCTAGCATTCTACCACTTGAGTCACACTTCTGGGTTTTTCTGTTTATGTGGTGCTAAGGAACTGAACCCAGGGATTCATGCTTGCTAGGCAAGCACTCTACCACTAAGCCATATTCCCAGCTCTGGAAATAACTATTTATATGTTGTCTTTCAGCTGCCTACAAGGGAAGCTCCCGACTGTCCGTGTCATGTCACATGGCCCAGAAGGGAATCCTGTCCCACATTTTGCCTTTCAATTGATCACCACAATCCGCTAAACATTAGGTGTCTCATGGGACCTAGGCATTGCTCCTTTCCTGGCTTCTTATACGTACACACACACACACACACACACACACACACACACACACACACAAAGTAGGCCCTAGCTATTCAAAGTGGATGCTAAAGTCCGGCATAGAATGTTGCAACTTATTTGTATTGTATTGTACTAAAGACACCTCCCATGTGCTTTCAATCCCTAGATTACTTATAATACCTTCTATAATGTAAATGCATATA